TTTACCCAGCTCAACAGCTAAGGGGGGAGATAAACTAGGTAAAGATGGCTCCTTAGGAACCGTCACAGAAAAGGGAGGTAGTGACGTTTTGGAAACAATGGATGTCTCATGTAGAGTTTTGATTGGATATTTGTCCTCATTCTGAAAACCTTTTTTTAAGCCACAGTGTGTCCTCTTTCTATCGGAGGTCACCGCGCCGCGTCAGAGGGCCACAGAGCCGCATTCATGTGGGTGAATGGACCCCCGGCCCGATGGAACCAACCGGCCTCAGAGGACCCGTGTCTACGTTAGGAGGAATAATCCTCCGTTGTGTTCCTCCCCGCTGGCTTTTTGGTCTTTAACCCGTTCAGGGAGGTCCAGCTGCTCCACACTGGCACCGTGTGTGCGTGTGTGCGCGCACGTGTGTGTTTGTGTGTGTGTGTTGATCTGAGAACGCAGCGACACTCAAACAGGCTTTGGTTCTTGCTTCTTTACTGGATGAAAGCATCGCTCAGAGTAGATTGGGTTCTTTTCGTCGTGGACATTAATCTTGTCCGGTTTTGTGCAGTTTGTTTCCCCTCATGTGCTGTTGGATGGGAAGTGGACGACATTCACCCCGTCTGCCACAGAGGGGTTTCAACACACACACACACACACACCCACACACACGCGGCCATCGGTTTATCAGATGAGGTTCGCGAGTGTTAAACGAGGTCGGACAGGAAGTTAAATGCTTTCTGCTTTCTGACTGAAGAAGCTCCGGTGACCTCTGAACCAGTGACCCCAGACCACTCACTCTCTCTCCACCGTTCTCATTGCATCAAGAAGTCATTCATCAAAACCGGAGAGGCCATATATTTTTTTTTTACATACTCGCTGCTATTTCGGTTTTCCGGGTCGAACTGGAGACACAGGCGAGCAGCTGTTCTGCACATTACGTTAACGGAGTCGCAGGAGTTTACTCCAGCGGTCCGATAACGGGCGCCGGGACGTAGACCCCCGTCAGTAAGGATTCACTGTCAGAAAGCCGGTTGTGATGTTTATGTCTAAAAAATAAAACCCAAAGGCTAATCTATTGTGCATGTAGTAAATACGCCTTTCTAATGATGAGGAATGATGATTCCTCATTCCTGTTTTAACTCGCCCACCAGGACTTTGTTCTCTCATTTTATGCTGCTCAGACCCTTTTGCAGATTTGCGCTTTCTACCTGGCAACAGAGCTCCGTGTGGGATAGTGACGTAAAGCACGCTGTTCTCAAAGTCCCTTCCATCCCATTGCATCATGTGTCTTACCTGTCCCCATGCTGTCCCCCCCCCTTCAACCTCCACCGCGCACAAGAATCAGCGCCATTATCTGCAAGCGGTAGAGTGGAGGATTAATCATTCGATGGAGGCTGTCAGCGGTTCTACCGTGTGGCCTCGGAAAAAAAGATAAACACACATAGCTGATCATAAATTCAAGGCTGAGTAAACAGAGAATGTACTGAGAAAGAAAAGAAAGAAGTGTGTATCATGATGGGAAGAGCTACAAGCCTCTGGGAAATATGTCAGCGAGCGACGCTGAAACCTCCTCCCACTTTAAGTCTCGGCGGCTTAAAGATGTCAGCCAGGACGTTTGAGAACTAACAGTGTTTTTCCGTAAAATGTGATTCTGTGTTCAGGCGTCGTGTCTCAGCCTGCAGGGAGGACACACACACACACACACACTCAGGCACACAGAAAAACACAGGCACACTGGAAAGTGTACTTCCTCCTACGTTTGGCCAGTGCCAACACTAGTCACTTTTCGCTTGTGTGAAACTTTGACTCGTGCACTTTTGTTTGTCTTTTCATGCCGTGCCGTCCGCCGCGTCGCACACTGTGTCGCACACTGCGTCGCACACTGCACAACTTGGGGACATCTTGCTTTGAAATCAGAATTCCAACATAAACTGTATTTAGGAGGTGGACGTAGCTGGTGTGACGTCACCGCTTGAGGCCCAAAGTTCCACATTTTTGCCGTCGCCACCTTGTGTTTTCTTTAGTGTGAGGCTCCGGTAGAGACCTGTCAATCAGAGTTTAGCCCCGCCCTAAAGCATCCCTCGCTGTTGGTTCCATTTGACTCTAAATGAAGCATGAATGAACCCATGTTTACAACGTTTACTGAGGGAATAAATCCAGAGAGAAGTAGTCATTTTCTCATTGACTTGTACATAAAGTACTAAAATAAACCCATAATCCAAACGTTGACATCCTGCTCTGTTTCAGCTACACATGAAATGCTGATGAAAACCACGGGTTGCGTAGCACAGACGGTCTTTCCCGTTGTGGGTCTCCTTGTGCAGCTTCCGGCTTCGCTCTCGGAGATCCTTCCTCTGTCGCTCACATTTGACCCATTTGGAGACTCGAGTAGATCAGAGATAGATTCAGAACGAGAGCAGGATTCCTCTGGGGACCCCCGTCTCTGGCAGCCTTCATTAAAAGAGGGCACCGCCCGGCCCTCCTCTCTTCTCTGTACCTTAACTGTACTCCAGATAGATCCGATCTCTGCAGTGGAGGCATTTATCTGATGTAGGTTTGTCTCAACAAAAGGGAATTGAAACCAATTGAGACTCCCTCGTGATTTAAAACGCCCAAAGTCCAATAAATGAATAATTCATTTGATTGTAATTTCTTTCGTGACTCCATTTTTTGCACAATTCTGACACCACCTCTCGCGCTGCAGGAATTTATGTAAACAAACGTCCTTATCCGGACACATGGAAGTGTGACGCGTCCTAGCGAGTGTCTTTGTCTCAGCCCTGCATGTGGGCGGAGCTTCCGGGCCGGGCGTCCGCTGCTTCCAGTCACACGAGGTCGACTCCGGCTCCTCGCCGTGTTTTCCCTGCACCGCCTCTTCTCCTCTCACCGCTGCCGAGTTCGCTGATCTCTTTGGGTGGCGGCGGCGTTTCCCGAGGCCCTCCTCCGCGTTAGAGCTGCAGTGCGTTTGTCAGATTTCGTGAGATCACCACAGACTGAAGGAGTCGGCGGGCCGGAGGGCGTGTTCTTCCTAAAGCCGCGTGCTCTTCAGGCTCCTCTCCAGGAGGAAGTGCTCTATTTATTTAGGCTCCTGGTCAACTATTTGTGTAATCTGCACCTCACTCGTCTACACTCGACGCTTCCTACCTGCTGTTAGTGAATAAAGGTCCTTTCAAACTGCTTTTTCAATTGTGTCTGTGATGCAGCTCCACAAAGCTGCCTCATTTATAAAATATACACATTTTTTTTATCCAGGTGTATGGATTAGTTTTGAATCTCACAGCAATCTGGTCAAAATCGTGTTGAATCAGTAAGTGACTTGAAGGGGAAAGCTCAGCTACAGTGGAGATGTAAATATATTTCTAATTCATGAGGCACTTTTGTCAAAGTGAAAAAAAGAAAATGACACCAGGAAAGTAGCAGTCTGTTAGTTTTAGTGGAAAACGTTTGGACATGCCTGAACCTACTTGTTGTGTGTCGGTGGAGCTAACGCGTTTGTCGGCAAAGTGTGTGTGTGTGCGTGTGTGTCTTGTGTTTGCACTGCCCAGTTGCCTGCAGGTATGCAGCAGAGCAGGTTCACCTGTGTCAGACCGGGAAGGAGGAGGGTGGAGGGAGGAGGAGGGGGTGCGTGTGGAGTCACTGGCCAATTCCCTTTTCAGGACGTTTTTTAATCATTGCAATTTTGAAATATGCTTTTCTTCCTTTTCCTTGTCCGGCTCTGTGAATCGGGACCACGGCTTCGCATTCCAACGGACACAGAAAGCGTGCGACGCCACTCGTTCATTCTCCGCCTCTTGTTCTCTCGGCCTCTGATGGGGCTGGAGAACACTGCGCCGGCCTGATTAGTATTCCACCGCAGAGCCGCAGGCGGCCCGGATAATCCCGAGCAGCTCCATCCATCTGGAGCTCTCGGACACGTTGGTTTGCTGAACTCGGGTTGTAATCAAATCAACACACTTGGAGTTTTTAAGTTAATGAAACCGCCTCGTCTGCGAGCTGTGAGAGAGTTCCTCAAAGAGAGTTCAGCTTAAATGACTTCTTCCTTCTTGGAAAATGCTGATTCATAAAAAAAAAAAAAAGTCTTGCGTCATCCAGAAAGAGACTTTTCCTCTTGAGGTTCTGGATATTTCTGGTAAATGTGTTTGACTGAGGCTTACTGACCCAGCTGTATCGCTTCTTCAAATCGCTCGCTTCTCTTTTGGGCCAACTTCTCCTCTTGAATAAATAATGACTCATCAGGTTGAAGAGAACAGTTGGGCTCTTATTTTATCAGGTTTTTTATCATCTGGAACATTTTAAAAAAGACCGGATATTCACGTTCTACATCAACACAGCCGGGGAAAAGAAACTCTGCGCTTGAATGTCATTGCGGAAAGTTTATTGCGGCTAAGTTTAATTATCAGAACCGCTTTGGGAGGAGAACAACGTGGTTTTGTTTCTGCTCCATCGACCACCACCACCGCTGAATTATGTATGTAATGTAAAATCTATGCACTCTCCACTGTGGTGCTGGAGCCGGCGTCTCCGCCTCCGTCAAGTCCATCGACCATTCCATCCTCTGCGGGGTCTCCGGCTGCTGAATATTTCATCCTTATTGATCCCCGGCGAATAAAACCCCCGTCTGGTGTTTGTGATGCTGAGCGCCGGGGTTCACACTACATAGATACAGGAGCTAACCTTTAAATCAATACTGATGTTCATGTGCTCTCTCCCCCACGAAAACATTTTAGTTGTACAAGCTTCTAACTCCGTTTAAAGCCAGAATGAGCCGATTTAAACATACAAACTAGAGGACGCATATTTAGCCTGAGAGGAGGTGATTGACTTGTTGTGGCATTAATGGGGGGGGGTGATTGATGGGTGCTCAGGTGGGGGTCTTTTCTCGATAAAACAGTTCGCCAGCTTGCTTGTGCAGCTGTTGATTTGCACTCTGAAAGGTGTGAATCTATTCCGAAACTGTCGAACCTTTCCGTGATTATATAAGAGTCACACCTCTCTCCCTCCCTCCCTCCCCCCTCCATCAGACGGTGTCCTCCCGCCGCTCCGAGTCGCCCGTCTACGCCAACCTCCAGGAGCTGAAGATCTCCGGGAGCCACGTGCCCCCTTTCCCCTCCGGCTCCTCGCTCAACGTGATGGGCGACTGGGAGACCTTCAAGGACCAGAGCGGCAGGTACTTCTACTACAACCGCTCCACCCAGGAGAGGACCTGGAAGCCCCCGCGAGTCAAGGACACGAGCGCCGGCAGCTCCAGGGGGGAGAGCCAGAGCGCAGGGGAGAGCTCCGAGGTACGAGTCCTGTGCAGAAGGTTCCCGTGTGGGGGGGGAGGAAGGTCTGGAGTCAATGTCAGTCACTGGTTACTCTGAGCAATAGCTATTAGCTCATGAAACACCTGGATTGTTCTCATTGGTCCAAACTGACTGGATCGCTCGCTCAAAATGGACTGACTTTGCAAAGATGTTGTCACTCAATCTGGTTCTCACAAGCATAGAATTACAGCAACTCACACACACACACAACATGATGAGTCGGAGAGAAAAAATGCTTGATAACATGAGCAGTACCTCCTGACCTGTTGTAACTGTCAGACAGGGTGAGATGTTCCTTCAACACTGACACAAAAAACAAGTTCTGTCTCGATTAACTTAACGATCTTCTCCACACACACACACACACACACACACACACACATGCAGCTTCTGAAATGATTCCACTTTTAATCTAATTGAAGAACAGGGAATCAATTGGGGCGAGTCATGCAGTGGTTGTACCATGCTGCCCCCTGCAGGCGAGCAGCCGCCGCTGTCACTCATTCGCTCCACGCTCGGTTTCCTGATGCGTCTCCTGGTTCCTCTGCGCTCTGTTCGGGGGTCGTTTGGTGCTCGAACTTTCTGCTTCACTCCATTCGGTGAAAAGATTCCCACTTTCTCTTCTCTTTCTCTCCCCTCTCTCTCGCCCCGCGGCGTCAGACCACCCCTCTCTCGCTCTCGCCCTCTTTCTTCCCTTTCCTCTCGCTCTCCATTGGTCGCCTCCAGCCGCCGTCGTCGTCGTCGGAGGACGCCTGCTTCAGCGCCTGCTCCAGCCAGTCGGACAGTCAGTACGGCTCGCCGCCGCGCGGCTGGTCGGAGGAGATGGACGAGCGCGGCCACACGCTGTACGTCAGCGAGCACACCAACGAGAAGGTACCGGCTGCTCAGCTGGCTCTTTGCGGTGGTGGTTCCTGGGGATGCATGATGGGAGCGGCTTCTCCTAAAGCCACAGAGCGTTTCCTACACGCAGATGAAGCAGGAGAACCAAAACGAAAAAAACTCATGCAGATTAAAAGAAATTTCATTTATTCAGCATGTTCAGCCTTAAAGTGTGCGTGTGGCTCGTGCACGCCGTGATGTTTCCGTGTGAGGACCTAACGAGTCCCGTCTGTGCGTTCGCCTGCAGTGGTTAAAACACGTGGACGAGCAGGGACGGTCGTACTACTACAGCGCCGACGGCTCCAGGTCAGAATGGGAGCTGCCGAAGGTGAGAGGTCATGGCGCCGTTCAGAGTGATGTGACGAGAATGTTCCGTCCTAGTTGGTAATGCAATTATTTTGTGCAATTTTTTTATTATTAACAGCAAACACTGTTGTACTACACAGTAAGATACAGTAACACAATAAAGTACATGAATACATTCCAGTTAAAATCAATTAAGCATGAAGGTGAAGAGCTCCGCCCCCTGCACCTGCCTGCAGTGAGATGTGTAAATATCAACAGGGATGCTGCGCTCACGTCTTCATTTCAGCCGCAGTTTGACACTAACAAGACCGACCTCCAGTCGTTTCTTCTCACACACACACACACACACACAGACTCGTGGGAGCGATGGAACGCTTGTTGCATTCGGCTGTTAAAGCCCCGTAGGAGGCGGGGCCAAAGCGAGCAACGACCTCCCTGTTTCCTCCCCTACAGTACAACCACTCCCCCCCCCAGCCGCCTGGAGACGCTCTAAAGAGCTACAGTCTGGACAGGAAGCGCGTCGACCCCATCGTCCTCACCAAGTTGAGGCACAGCACCTACCTGCCGGACGCCAACGACAAGGTGTGACACGCGCCTCAGACCGGCCGGAGCTCAAATGTCTGCAGAAACGATAATTGGATGACGCTTTTCTGTTTAAGTACAGCCTGAATGAGCGTGTGTGTGATGTGATGTGATGTGATGTGATGTGATGTGATGCCTGTTTCATCTCACGAGTCCAGATGTTAAAATTGTGGACTGTTGGATTTATTTTTTTCTTGCCTTTTCTGCAGCCGTTAAAAAACAGGCGTTTCCGCGCAGGCTCCGCCCGCCCACACTCGCACAGACAGCAAGTCAGTGGCCCGTCCAGTCGACCAATCGGCCGCTCGCCCCTGAATCTAAAGCGCACAATCGACTCGCATGTCAACAAAATCAATAATCGCATCTTTTCGATTCGCCGAGTTTGATCGAGTCGGTTCGCCCCAATCATTCGGTCGCAAACCCGATGAGGAGGTTTCGGCCTCAGACATCCACAAACGGTTCGTCTTGCACGCCGAAGACGGAGTGGTTTGATAAATTCTCGCCTCCACATCTAATTACCCCCGCCCCCCCCACCCCGGGACCCCGCTCAGGTCCTCGACACGCTGTAATCCCACTGCTAATTGCCCTCGCAGTCCTCCACACGTTGTGTTCCTAACCTCTCATCTTCTTCCCATTAACCTCCTGCTGTTAGTGACTCTGTGTGTGTGTGTTTTCCCCCCCCAACCCATGTCTCCTCACCAGGACGCTCCTCCGAGCCCCAAGCCCACCTCCCCCGACTCTGACTGCTGCCCTCCGTCTCCCCCCGCCTCCGTTAGTACGCCCCCCTGCCCCCCTTTGCCTCCCCCGCGGGCTCCGCCCTGCCGGGGGGGGGGGTCCGCCTGCTGCAGCTCACGGCAGGGTTTCTACACAGGAGGGTCGCGTGGCCTCCGTCACCTCGCGTACGAGTCCTCGACCAGAGGGAACAACACGCTTGAGCCTGTGTAGAATCCGCGTCGTGGGCAGAAGTGATTCGGGGCGCCAGGCGGCTGCTTGGTTTCCGAGTGTCCACCGGTTGTTTTCCCGGGTGCGCGGCTCCTCTGTGTTTCCCCCCAAAAGGAACAAAAGATCCGCTGAAGTCTTTTTCTGGTTTTGATTTAGTCTGACGTCTAGTGTCGAGTCACGAGTGGAAATGATGGTGTTCTGAAGGCTGCGATTGTTCTGGTGGCGGGTGGAGCGGGTGCTTGTGTGGCGGTGTTTTCTCTTAATTGTTTTGCTGATATTTGCTTCTGACGTCTCTCTCCTGTCGGCCTTCTGATGGGTGCGTTGCCCTTTTTCCTCAGACCCTCCCCTAATACTTAGTTTCTCTCCAGCCGTCAGAAAAAAGCAGCGACCTGAATGTGACCAAGATCACCGAGCACGGCAAGAAAGTACGGTGAGTAGGACCGACTCCGGCCCGGACCCGCGTTGCTCCGCAGTGAGCCCAGCTGAGCGTTTCCTGTACCGTCTGTTGCAGGAAGAACTGGGCGTCCTCCTGGACCGTGCTGCGGGGATCCACGCTGATATTTGCCAAAGGCCAAGGAGGCGGGACCAGCTGGGTGAGTGACGGGAAGCTCGTACTTTATTTCTGTGTTCAAGCTCACGAGCTTTTAGTTGCAAGCATCTGTGCTGCGAGAGCCCACAAACCCCGGCGCCTCTGCAGGTCATCATCTCCGCAGTGATGATGATCGGCAGTTTTTCTTCCTTGAGAAATTGAATCTCGGGCACCTGTCAAATGACGAAACGCGGCAGTGAAAGACTTGTCATGTCACATGACCAAGTCGTGCGCTCTTCTTCATCACTTGTTTGGTCCGCTCTCTCTCTCTCGTTCTCTCTGTGCAGTTCGGGGGCGGTCAGTCGCTGCCAGAGTTCACGGTGGATCTGCGGGGCGGCTCGGTGGAGTGGGCCTCCAAGGACAAGTCCAGCAAGAAGCACGTGCTGGAGGTGGGGTGGACCTCGCCTGTTTCAGCCTGTGTTTCTGTCCTCGAGAGACATCTAATGGAGACGCTTCAAAATAAAAAATAAAAAAACCCAAATCTCTCCCTCCCCCGGCGGCAGGTGAAGACTCGTCAGGGCACGGAGCTGCTGATCCAGTCTGACAACGACAGCTTGATCAACGAGTGGCACCAGAAGCTGCAGGAAACCATCAGCACGCACGTGAGGACTTTGTCTCACTCTGTAATGAAAATGCACATTTAAAGTCGCACGTCTTCAGACGGATATTTGCTGTTTGGCAGTTGTGAAGTTTTCCTGGTTGCTACGAAAAAATACAAACGATTTCTGGAAAGCCACTTTGTGTAAACTAACACAAGCTGAGCGCTTGTCACCACTGTTGTAGCTTTACTCCCCCGAGGGTCCAAAGGTGCCCCCGTGAGAGGTTTTTACGACTTGTATCTAATCTCTTAGGCCTGGGAGTCGGACGAGGCCATCGAGGAGGACATGCCCGAGTCGCCCGTGGCAGAGAAACCGCCTCCGCAAGAACTCAGGGACTCAAAGAAAGGCCGAGGTCTGTTGGGCGGATGAAATAACATGCGCTGAACGTTTAACAGTGAAGCACCACGCGAACGTTTCAGTGACGCTGAAAACGCGTCACGCAAAGATCAAAGCGTTTAATCAAGTGGGTGAAAGGCCAATCGGGTGACGACGCGGACATTACGCAAGCGCCACACGTGCCCTATAAGAGAAGTACGCTTCAGTCAAGAGTCCCTCAAAGCGCGCAGCGGCCCGCCATGGCGCTCAATGCGTTTAGACGAGCGGTGGACAACTCTGTCCGGTCTCATCTGTCCTCTGCAGGCGTGAAGATCTCCTCCAGCATGGACACCTCCGACAACAAGAAGACCCGACACAAGCTGAAGAAGTTCCTGACCCGCCGTCCCACGCTGCAGGCCGTCAGGGACAAGGGTTACATCCAAGGTAGGCCTCGCGTTCGCCTTTTGTTTTGGACGTCTCACCAGCAAGAAACGCACCATGAATCTGTTTGTTAATTGTGGCCTATTGTCATTTTAATTCATTCTCTAACGAGCCGATTTGCTCCTGAAAAAGGTTTTAAAGGCATCATTTTATTTGTATAGCACTTTTCATACACAAGGCAGACTCAAAGTGCTTCACATCATAACATTTCATGCAATAAAGTGAAATAAAATGCAGGAATTAAAAGACAATTAAAAACAGCAAATAAAATTATAAATTAAAATCTTATTTAGGTTAAAAGTGCAATGTAGGTCAAATTTAGCAGAAGGCGAAGCTGAACATAAGTTTTCAGTCTTGTTTTAAACGTGGTCAGAGTTGGGGCAAGTCTTAAATCTTCAGGAAGTTTATTCCAGCTGTTTGTTGCGTAGTAACTAAATGATGCTTTCCCATGATTTGTATTTACTCTGGGAACCACTAACAGATTGGTGTCAGAAGATCTTAGTGATCTTGAAGGCTTATGTAGTGGAAGCATATCAGTGATATACTTTGGCCCTAAACCATGTAGTGATTTATATGTGAGCAGTAGGATTTTGAAATTAATTCTCTGACATACTGGGAGCCAATGTAAGGATTTAAGAATTGGTGTAATGTGCTCACATTATAGTCTTCCAATAATAAGTTTCATGTCTGTAGCCATTTTTCTCGATGTTTCTTTGGCCTTGTAACGAGCCCGCAGGAAGAGAAGCCGCGCCTCCTTGTGCGAGTGTCTTTACGACGGTGCTCTTGTGTCTCCGTGTCCTCAGACCAGGTCTTCGGCTGCAGCCTGTCCAGCTTGTGCCTCAGGGAGAGCGGCACGGTGCCGACCTTCGTCCGGATGTGCATCGACCACGTGGAGAACAACGGTGGGTTTTCGATCCCAGGTGACGGTAACGGAACCCGCAGTCCAAGAAGGGGCGGGGCTTACTGCCACCTTCTCTTCCGCTGCTCAAATGAAACTGACCGGCGTTTTTGCTCCCATGGTGCCTTGCAGCGCTGTCTGTAGACGGGCTGTACAGAGTCAGCGGGAACCTGGCGATCATACAGAAGCTACGCTTTGTGGTCAACCACGGTGAGTTACACGACGGGAGAAAAGGAAAAGAGAATTAGAATCAAAGCCTCTTGGATGCGCGGACACATTGTGTTTGTGTCCAGATGAGAAGGTGAACCTGAACGACGAGAAGTGGGAGGACATCCACGTGACCACCGGAGCTCTAAAGATGTACTTCAGGGAGCTGCCGGAGCCGCTCTTCACCTACACCTTCTTCCACGACTTTGTCGGCGCCATCAGTACGTGACAGGAACTAAATTCTCCCCCCCCCCAATTAGCAATAGTGGAACATTTGATTTGAGCTTCATTTTACTTTTCACGGCAGATTAGGAATTCTGATTTAAAATAATAAAACCACCCAGCTGGTGATTCGGTAGCAGTGACTCCGCCGTCGACCAGCAGCATCAGAGGCCGTTTGTCCAACGCGTCGGGGAAACGATAGAAGGAACTATTTGATGAATCCAGGTCGCTGCACTTTGATGAGTGTTTTTCTGCTCTGCAGAGATTTCAGACTACAAGCAGCGAGTTCAGTCCATCAAGGATCTGGTCCGACAGCTTCCCAAACCAAACCACGACACCATGCAGGCGCTCTTCAAACACCTCAGGAGGTAAGAAACTCCACAACATTTTAAAAAGAAAAATAACAGCCAACGGGCACCTCCCCCCCCCCAGAACCATCAAACCGTGTTTTCACTCGCACGGGGTTAAAGATGACAACACCATTTAAATGTTCATGAGGATCTAAAGCAGAAACAAGCGAATGTTTTGGTATTTCTGCTCACACTCATCAACCTTCCCAAGGATTTAATTTCTCGTCATTTGTGACCCACAGAGATTAAACTGTAGCTTTGTTTAGTGAAGCTGACGGGAAAATACAAACGCTGCTTATTATTAACTTCAGCACATTAACGCATGTACTGTTCTCAGGTATTTTCATTTTCCGCTACTGAGACAAACTGTTACTTATTTTTTATATTCTGAATAATAATAAGAAAAGAATGAGACTATTTTGATGCTTTCAAATTCCTCCGACTTTAACCGGTCTAAAAGTGAGTACTTCTCCGTCCTTTAGATGATACTACTCGTCTGTTTTTAAAGTTCATCCCTCCTTCTTGTTTTTATTTTGTCAGTGTTTGAATAATAATAATAATAATAATATTATCATCATAATAATGATAATAAATCCCATTACAAGAAATCTAATAATGCTCCTCCAGGGTGATCGAGTACGGCGAGGAGAACCGCATGACCACCCAGAGCGTGGCCATCGTGTTCGGCCCCACGCTGCTGAGGCCCGAGACGGAGACCTGGAACATCGCGGTCCACATGGTCTACCAGAACCAGATCGTGGAGCTGATTCTGCTCGAGTACGAGAACATTTTCTGCAGGTAGAAAGAGACGCCTGGATGAGCCGCTCTCTCTCGCTCTCTTTCTCTCTCTCTCTCTCTCTCTCTCTTCCATCAGAGCCGGGTTTGGCCCGGCCTGGATTGGCTCGGCTTAGCTTCTTTTCATCTCAATCCATCCTGCGGGGGCCGAAGCCACGCCGATACGTCACCAAACCAAAACACGGCTGTAACGAACTAGCGACCAAAACAAAAAACAAAAAAACCTTTTGCACTTTCCAGTGTGTCGTGTTTCTCCTGCAGCTGCATTGGTGCCACTTCACTGCAGAAAGGTGACGTCCTGCTGTCGCGACACTGGATTCTTAAAGTAGCACGCGGGCCCAACGGGCCTCTGCTGCTGACCGACCGAGACCAAAGCTAAAGGAGGGGCCCTCGGGGCCCTCAGGGGCCCTCATGCACTGTACTGTACAACCCCCACCGTCACTCCCGTGCACCACACTGGAAACGTCTCTATGCGTTTGGCTTGAGACGTTCAGACGCTATGAGGAGGAGAAGGGAGGATTTCTGAGTGGCTTCAAAGTGTTTTCTTTCGTTCCTTTTCCTTCCTGTAACCCTGACGCACTGGACCGGGTCCTCTGAACACATCAGAGGTCATCTCTCTGTAACATACGTCTGCAGGTCTCCTTTAAGCTTTAAGAACAAATCATCTTCTAGTCAGAAGTTTATAATAAATAAAAAAAGGTACTCAAGTGTCTTTCCTCGACCCCTGGATATTAAACGTTGGGTTGATGAATCTGTACAGTGTTTTAGGTGTGTGGATGAGGGCGCGGCGGATGGATGGATGAATGAATGAATGGAATCAATGACCGTTTATTGTACAAATAGTAAATATAAGTATGTACGCCTGGAATGTGGAATATATGACACAGGGGAGGAATCTCTATTGTGTGATCGTTGTGTGACGAACAGATGAGGGGCGACGTTATGAACTCAGGTTCACCGGCGTGTCGGGTGGACAGAATGTTGTTGAATGTAAATCTCGCGAGTAACTGTTGGGCTTTAACTAACTGGAATAAAGAGCTCTATTAAGAGGTATTTCCAAAGGAGACGTGCTTTTTGTTTTTATTCATTTATTCATATTCATACATTTATTTATTCGTACATTTATGCGTTTTATAATGTTTTTATAATAATCTTGTCACAGTGAAGCCAAAATATGAATATATTTAGGGTTCATTAAGTCAAATGCATACAAATTAAATCCAGCCTACTATAAAACAAAGTCAAAATAAGTCATAAAATGTTCAAAAATATTGGATCAAAAATGTTTTGAAGAAAAAGTATGTTGGATAAAAATATCTGAGAAAAAAGTAAAAACATATTAGGTAGAAAAGAAAATCGTCTATTTTTGTTTTGTTTTTTGACATATTTTTACTTTTCACAATCCAGCTGCCTTCAGGATTTCCTCAACACGACTCACGCATACGTTTTATAACTGAAATGCAGCATCGCCACAGACGGGACTCGACCGCACTGTGTAATAACACAAAGATCCATGCGTCTCCGATGGCGCTGATCCGTGCAGACTCCTACAGATGTCTAGTTCAAACCCCCCCTAAGCGTCTCTTGTCGGGTGGAGCTTCGCTTCACATCAACATCTTTTCCTCTGAAACGTCTGAAAAGGTTCAGCTCTTCGCGAGCAGCAGCAGCAGGACGTGTCATCAAAGTCCTTTTGTTCGCCGTCTCTCAGCAGCCTCTCCGTCCTGGTGAAGTTGCTCCCTCGGGGACCCAGAGAAGAGAAGTTTTGCTGAGCTCGCATGCTCCTTCTTTAGGAATGTCCCACCTCCACCTGACGGAGGAGTTCGGGACAACATCTCGTCGTCACGGCTGAATACACGTATGAGCAATTCATCCGGATTCACTGATGACTGTGACGTTAGGAACGCTGCATTGGTTCTCTGCGCGTTAATCAAACGGTGATGTTACACGTAACCAAACATACTTGGTTGACATCAAATAATTACAGCCTGCAACTAGGAAATATTTACGTTAAAATTAGATCCGTTAGGAGAAAGATTATAAAGGCCACTCCCAAACACAAATAAATATACATAAAAGAAACAGCAGCTTCTTATTGTTGCACTTTGTGTTGATGGTTGTTAAAGGGAACAATTTGAGGATTGAGAGAACTTCATGCAGTCGATCTGAGGCAACTTGGACCATGACCCCCCCCCCACCCCCCAGCCCAGTCCCCCCAAGCCCCCCTTCGCCTTCGACTTAGAATGAACTTGAAAGCCTAAATAAAATCGACACGGTGGCAGAGAAGTTGTGGTGTCAGGAGATCCCCCCCCCCCCCCAGGCTCCCTCCGGCTCCGGCCGATAAGGCCGAGCTGACATCCCGTCTGCGGCTGCACGCCGAGCGATAAACGCCGTCCACGCGGACCGCAGTCTAACCCCCACAATGCAACTTGGTTTTTCCATTTTTCTTAAGAGCTGTTCTTTAAAGTGTCATGTAGATTATCGTAAACGACTAATGAGGTCAGTTTCCAGTTTGGATGAAATCGTAACCTGGGGGGGGATTATGAGGGTGGACGTCGATGAGAAAAGGACTCGGTAAACATCGTAAAGGTTTATGGTTCAGGTTTATGCTCCTGACCGCTCTACTACGTCACTCCTCTGCATTCCAAACGCGACGCCCGCCGTTGGTTACCGGCGTTTACCAGCGTTTACCACACCGCCACATCCGCGTTGGTTTAATTTAATGGCTCTGCGCTCCCTTGATGAGACGCCGCCTGTCTGTCGCTTCAATCGATGCCCTTTTCACCGCAGTTAATTCAGGGTTTGGTTAAACAGCCGAGTGACAAACGTCCTCATAGGACGAGGAGACACGAGGAACATTGACAATGGTGGACAGCGTCAGGTCAACACACACACACACACGTGGCCTTTCATCTCGCTGAGTGTGTGTGTGTGTGTGTGTGAGAGAGACACCACCTCCAACCAGCTCCCTTCCCATCTGCACCTCCTCCGTGTCTCTAACTACCCGTCCTGCATGGTGATCACATTCCCCTCGCCGGCGGTCACTTAGGAGGCTGCCGGAGTTCCTCCCGCTCGCTGCGCCGCGCCGGCGAGTGCGTGTGTTAGTTCGCGCACTCGTTTCAAGGTGTCGACGTGCACCTGGCTGAGTTTGAACCCGGACAGACTCTGCATGCGGCACGTCGGTTCTGTGCAGCTTGGGTGTGGAGTGTTTTCAACCGGTACATCAAAAGAGGCCTAATAGAAGATGATCACGCAGCTCCAGATGTTCTGTTTTATAGATCTCTCTTTGTCAATAAGGGGAAACCGTCTTGGGGCTTTTTGTGCCGCATCAAGCTCTCCGTGCTTTGGAGGTCCGGGGTCACGTTAGTTCACTCTTTCCACCCAACGACCCTTTTCCCCACTGATGAAACCTGTTGGAGAATAAAGTCCTTCTGAAGGACTTTTTCTGGTGCGATCAGGCACCTCGAGGAGGTTGCGCGTGACCGACACGCCACACCGGCTGTATCAGCCGCCCAAACACACCAATCGTGGTCGTCCAACAGTGCTTTTCTGTTTCCTTCGTGACCGAGTAGCTGAGGCTTTTGAGTGACGAGACGCCGCTAAAATGTACGAATATCCGTGGTCGCCGTGTAAGTCGAACTCTACGGGAGAAGATGCCGCCGAGCGTCTGGAAGCTGCTCGCTCTCTCACAAGAAAAGGGAACGTGACACGATACGATACACAGATTCTTCTCTGTCCGAATGAGCTGAAGACTCATTCTGTCAAAAAGGCGTTTCACACCCAACTCCCTCCCCACCAAACGTTCTCCCTGCTGCTCTCCTCCTGCCGAAAGACGCCCGCGGCTCCGATGGCGATCACCAGGTTGGGTTTCACAAGCGGCGCTCACGTGCTTTGAGTTGAGAGAACGACAACACGCCAAGAACTGTGTTCATTTTCTGTACCGGGGGTTTAAACCTGCGTCGTGATGGCTGTGTCTGCACGCCGCGCCGGCCCGAGTCGCGAAAGAAGCCGAACCCTCCGTTCCAACAATTCAGTTGGGAGGACGCAGTGAAATATGCAACGACTGCGATGGGTGTTCATGATGGGACGGCGTGGAGGCCGAAACGTCCTCCTCTAACGCAGAATAAACTCACTCCCCCCCCCGGGTGGATGAACCATCACCTCGATCGCCTCAATCATGGCTTATCTGCTGATGGATCTGAGGCTTTGTGCTGTAAGCTCCGCTGAGCTGACGGGCCGGCTCATTTGGCGCCGACTGACTCCAGCGGGACAGATCTCCTGTTCAGGGTGACGTGACACCTGCTTCAGAAGGCGGCTGATGCCCTGAGGACCCGGTTTGGACGGGATTTAGTTCTGAGGTGCTGGATGAGGGATCGCGTGTTTATTGAGAGGTTTGTCATTTATTTAAAGTGAATATTTTTAGAATCCGCCCACGACAAACGTGAAGTTACTTCCTCCAAAGCGCCTTGTTTGAATCCCCTCAGCGCTCCTGTCGGAGGTGACGGTTTCTCTCGACATTTTGGTCTGATGGCTGACAGCAAAATGGCAAAAGTTCCAAAGTTAATGTCACTTGAGGCCAAACTGCTAATCCCCAGAGACGCTGTGACATTTGTCTTAGAAGCAGATTGATCGATATGTGGGCAGAGCTTCCCCCGAACAATGAAACCAAAACACACACAAGAACAGGCCTTAAAATACTCACTGGAATGAACCAAAAGCCTTTTTTCTCTCTCCAGCTTCTCCAAGTTCTCCAGAGACTGTGAACATTTGTAAAATTGTAAAAGACGGATAAAGAAATTTGATTCAAACTAGAGACACGGAAGCTGTAAAAAGATACAAAAAACAGCTTTGAAGAAGTTTGATTCATTCTTTTGTGTGCTTGATTTTTTCTTTGCGGCTCAAAGAAGCCAACAGAAAGCAATCTGATCTTCTGAGCTCTTTTCTTCACCAACGCTGCATTTCTCAACATAGATGACATTCGAGAACTTAATCTGATCAACATCCAGTGGAATTTTAAACAGCAACAGATTTTCTCTGCAGCAGCTGTCTCCATCAAGGGCAAAAGGCGGCAAATAATGGAGCGGATTAGCATGAAGCGTCAAGAGCTCTGGGATTTGTCTGCTGCGCGCCGTCTCCCGGGAAATGTGTTCGGGCGCCTCGAGGAGCATCGAGGAGCACGCGGAGAAACGGCTCCAGCGCCGTCGACCCGCCGACTCGAGCGTGGCTCGGCTCGTCTGTGGGCACCGAAGCAGGAGGAAGCGTGCTCGTCTCGCCTGATGACGCCCAGCGAGTTCCTCTTGTCCACTCGGCGGCTGTCAACAAGTTTTCCCAGCGGAAAACGTCCCCACACTTTGATGTCAGAAGTCATTCGCGGAGCAGCGGCCCTCTCTGGCTCTTTGAGCCTCGTGAGGAAAATCCACTTTCTCTCCGTTGATCCTCCATCCAGCTTCTCAGACTTTGTGCCGTGGGAAAGAAATTGTCATTTTTCTCTCCAAATAATTCCCTCTTTATATGAAAAAAAACAACCTTGGGTGGCGAGGACGGTTAAAAAAAAAAGGAAACGCGTTGCCTGTGGCGACGGAGGAGGCGCGTTGGCAGCAAGTGGAGACAATGTTTTCTCCGTGTTTCCATCACTAATCGCTGCGTTACCCAGAGCAACGCAACAGCTGTAGGAATCACAGCAGCGTGACTCAAAGTGGGGAATCCTCCCGCTCTGTGTAACGAGTTAACGGGTTTAACTGCAGCTGAGATGGACGGCGGGACGCCGCGGGACTGAAGACGGACGACCGCAAAGGGACGCAGAGACGCCGACAGAGAGAGTTATGCAGATTTCCAGAAGCCTTTTCCACTGATGGTTTCCAGTGTAGATTGTGGTGTAATTGTGCAGCTGCTTGCTGCTGATAAACCGCTGGAAGAGTCCCGTCTCCACTGGATTCTATCAGGAGGCCGTCAGACACACACAAAGTTCTGGCTTTGTTCCTGGCGGCATCGGCTTTACCTCTGTGTCCGTCTGCACCAAGAAGACGAGTTGTCGTGCGAAGGGAAGACAGAAGCAGCAGACGGAGAC